TGGCCAACAGCACCTTGTGTGAAAGTTTCACGATCAAGCTTGCCAATACCAGATTTCGCAATGTCGCCACCAGCCAAACTGGATCCAGAGGTCGACCTCTTGAAACTTTCTTCGACGACCAAAAAATATTTTTTGGGCTAGTTGCGACATTGAACGTGAAACTTTCACACAAGGTGCTGTTGGCCAAGCCGAGCCCATAGCTCCAATAAAAACCCCACGTTTCATTGTAAAGTTTGGAGATACAGGCACGTTTATGTTTTACCAATGCTGTAAGCGTGATGGAACTGCTTTTTCCTAGTGGATGGTGTCGGCTGCATTAGCGGAAAGATGAAGAGCTGAGTGAAACGGCACGTGGTGGTTACACAGACACGTCCTTGACAGGTTGCTACACAAATGGATGATGATGATGATTGCCTTTTGCGAAGGTACGTAAGTGATGCGTATGACAATAATGGTTCCATATCACATTTGCATGTAGGAGAAGGTCAAGCTGCATAAACCAATTTGTATATGTAAAAGATACGTATACATATTGAATGGGTCACTCATCCTGAAACTCAATGGAGGGATCTCTTCACTTTTTCTCTTCTCAAGCTGATCCCACTTCCCACTCCTCCTTATTGTATCACAAAATCCATGTACTTCTTGCATGACCGATAACCGGACCACCTTTATTATTCCATCTTCGAAGCAATAGTATGTAATCCACAAGCTAGCAACCTCCAACAAGCGTGTAGTAAATAAACAATGCTTTATTTCATCTAGCTGTCTTGCTACTGTACATTGCCACCACCATCGTCGTAGTCGCCCTGCGTCATCATTCGTGCTCGTACTCGTCACCAGTCGTCAATCTCATCCGTCACACCAACATCCAAAAATACACAAGTTGAAAAGAATGGGATCTTGCAGGCTTCCTTTTGAATCTCGTTGTCGTCATCATTGTCATTGTTGTGGATGGGGTGATCATCGTAATCGTCATTGTTGTGAATGTGGTAATCATCGTAATCGTCGTCTCTACAAATAAGAAAGCAGGCAAGTTAGACCATCTGGTACCGGGAATGATGACGATTTGGTATACCGTTAGGCGATCCTCTCCAAGGAAGAAAGCAAATCAGAATGAATTCACAAACGAAATCACCATCATACGAGCAACGTCGGTCGATCCCTTGTTCTTGAGAAAGCACTGCACGAATCACGCAAGGCCAGTTCGATCCATGGCAAGGAAGGACATCACTTACGTAGAGCCCAGGCTCATAGTTGTTCTCATTCATCCTCTCCAAAGAAACAATGATCCCAAATCTTTTCAATCATTTCCCACCTCATGAAAAGAAATCCTCAAGGGAAAGAACGAGCCTATCACGAGAAGAGCGTGTTGGTTAAACACATTCACAAGCTGTTGCAAATCCCCTTTTACCTTAACACGGTGACCATCCTCTTCCAAAAATCCATCGTCATCGACCCATCCTCAACTCAAACGCAGGCCTATAGAGCCCTGGATGCGTTCCAAGAAGCTTTTCCAGCACACTTGGCTAGTGCAGAGCGACGCAGCGACCACTTGATACAGGCTGGGACTTGAACCCAAAGAGATGATGAATGCCCTCAAGTTGCATTGCCTGACCAAAGAAACCTATTCAATTCATTATTAGCACACACACAATAAACATCCTTTTCATTGTTTGGTTTATTGTACTTGCCTTTTCCATATACACAAAGACCCGTTGTTGTTGGTTACTGGAAACCGAAAACCATGGTGTAGTATAGTTGAGCCGAAACAAAACGCCAAACGAGCCAACGTCTTGAAACCAAACTTGATCCCTATATAAGCTAACACGTCAATGGAACCAGTTCGGCTGCAACATTGGACTCTCAACGTACCTTGACACCAAGCGTAGAGCGGGAATAGCAACGAACAAGAGGAAGGAACGATATCGCCATGGCAACCACCAACCACCAACCACGCTCATTCCTCAGCACTTGGACACACTCACTCCCTGACAATGCATGTTCAGAACTACATTAACACCTCACAGCCAACAAGAGCATTTTTTTATAATACATTACCTTGATCGAGATGTCGTGAATGGAATAAGGAAAGGTGGGAGAAAAAGAAGAGAAGCGTTGTCTCAAGTCGTGGAGCTGCTGACCCCCAAGTTTAAATCCCCCTACTGCTATTACACTGAGGCCGCTCATCAATTACCCTATACACACCATCCACCCATCGTCATCATCACCCTCACGATAGACAATAGGTACACGTAAATAAAAGAAATGATGATCTTCACGTATAGCAAAAGGGTGTGTGCCATTTTACATTTTACGTGTGCTGTACATGTTGACATTGGATATTGCTGTGCTGAGGCTACTTGCAAGTTGTGTTAGCAAGCCGTTCAAGTCTTGATGGCCTAGGAGACATAGATGGAGTGGAGCACAACTTCCTTTCTCACAGCAAGACCATCGCCTCCATGCTTGAAGTTGAAGGCAGCTACCCTTTATTTCATTGCCGTGAACCATATACTAGCAGCACACAGGGCGAAACCAGCATCATTTGTGACACGCCCTCACTGCCGGATCACATCGCAATTGGCCCAGCATCAAGAAAATGATCGGGCAGGAAGGTTGTTTAAGCACACTGTAGCTATCATTCAATAGTATTTTCCTTTTGGCTTATGTTAGTATACAACATTCACATTATCCCAGGCTATACAAAAGGAGAGCTCTTATTGGAGATTACGGCGATGATGATGAATGGAGATTTAGTAATATGAATTTCTCATCTTGACATATGGCAATGTGAATGTACACTAACACCATTGTCAAGGGGAATCGTTGGATGTGTATCAATGTGGCGGGGGGGGATTGGGGATCGGTATGAAGAATGTATGGGATGATGCATAAATGTGATTGACACAATGCGCATGAATCCAAATATACATGCGCGTGTTGTTGAAACGCTTGAATGAAAGGAAGTATACGTGGACCCAGCAATTCCAACAAGCGTTAACCACTTGAGGAATTGGGTTTAACCCATTTTGACTTGACCATGGCACACCATTTTACAACCCGGATGGTCAGCTCACGTTGCACAAGCGACTACTCTTGACCTTCTCTTGGAAAAGCGTATCATGTTTTTGTCCTCAAGTTTGGTAAATGTTTACTGCATTATGTATCCACCTTAGACAAAGAGCATTAGCAAGGAGGTGGGTATGTAAGAAAAGACATTCATTATGTATGTGCCATGCAAGAACCAAAAAAAAAGAAAATGATGACACAAAGGACCCCTTCTTCGGTAATAGTAACAGCTCCGGGCCGTTTCATTTGTATTTCAAAGTGGTCGATGGTATAGGTAGGACTTTTTCTGTGGATATCATCAAGGGATCATGTACATTGTTATAATTCTTGTTCAGCATCTCACATGGTGTGCGTGCCATCATCACAATCCAAGCTCAGAATAACCCAACTTGGTGGATATCATGGGTTTGTGTGCCCATTGTGTGTCCTGCCAGGCACCACCACCGTCGTCAACAACATCATAACACAGCCCAAATCAAGAACCATCAACATGAGAGAGACACTTGTAACATGAATAGCATAGCAAATCATCTATTTTTATATAGCAACATGATATGAAACGAACGTATAGAGGAGTGTGTGTGTGTGTGTGTGATGAAGGTCTTTGATACACGACGCGGAGTTGATGTTGCAACCGGATGCTATGTGAGAGAGTAAAGTAGAGTTGGTGCCTTGTCCTTTCTCGACTACTCTTTCCTCCTCTTTTGACTATATCAATACTCGGCCCACTTTACGAGAGACAACAACCAACCCTCCATATTACTATCAACAGGGGTGACGGCCAAAAGATAATACAACCTACTTGTCTCTCTCTCTCTCTTCATTCCCCGAGCATAACGGATCAACTTCCTTTACCCCTCAACCTTCCCCGTCATCTCAAACTGAGCCCGCCATTTTCGACTGTTCAGCATAAATCCCGTCATCTCGAGTGGAAACCAATCAGTCCCATTGTCGTATCGACACGCATTCTTTATTGACGTTATTCACGACCAACGAGTAATAACAAGAACAGCGAGAGGGGTGGGTCTACTTTTGCATAGAAACTGATCGCCCAAAACGTGTATTAGAGTGAAGAACGATACGGCCATTACAACCACAACAGCATCGACGAGTGTCCAACAACTTGAAATAACAACGTCATGGCTGGAGGAGGCAATATCAAAGTAGTTGTAAGATGTCGTCCGCTCAACGCGAGAGGTAAAACAAGACAAAACTAGCAACCATGCATTGAAAGAAAAACTAAGACATGAAATGATAGAACTTGCCCGAGGAGCGACAGGCCTTATTCGGATGGAGGGCAATCAAACCATTCTTAGTCGTCCTCCGGATAGCAAAACAGGCAAAGAATCTGAAGATATCAAGGCATTCACCTTTGACAAGTCATATTGGTCCGCTGACAAGAATGCTCCAAACTATGCCGATCAACAAACGGTGTATAATGATTTGGGAGAGGATCTATTGAATCACGCATTTGATGGATACAATTGCTGTATTTTTGCTTGTAAGTTGATCAAGATGCAATTGAGGATTAGCTCTTCTAACATTGTCCTATTGATTAGATGGTCAAACTGGTTCAGGAAAATCATACTCAATGGTAATGCAAGGATGGGAATCAACAAGGAAATGAGTTGACATGTATTCTACATGTAGATGGGTTATGGTGATGACCATGGTATCACGCCAAGGACATGCAGCGAATTATTTGAGCGCATCAAAGCCAACGATGATGAGAACCTGACGTATCGTGTGGAGGTGTCCTACATTGAAATCTACAATGAGAAGGTGCGGGATCTCTTGAATCCAAAGAACAAAGGCAACCTTAAGGTCCGTGAGCATCCCAGTACTGGTCCCTATGTTGAAGATCTTTCACGTCTCGTCGTAAAATCCTTTGATGATATCAACCACCTCATGGATGAAGGCAACAAGGTTGGTATAGATTTGACAAACAAGCGCTACGAGCAACGGCATGTATTGACATCTGGATTTGGTTTAGGCGAGAACGGTGGCTGCTACCAACATGAATGAGACATCTTCGCGTTCACATGCCGTGTTCACTTTACATCTCACCCAAAAGCGTAAAGATGAATTGACCAAGCTTGAGACAGAAAAGGTGGCTAGAATCAGGTATGACGCGATAGGGATAGGATGGATAATGGGTGGATACTGATTTATCATTTCTAGTTTGGTGGATTTGGCTGGTAGTGAACGTGCCAATAGTACTGGTGCGACAGGTGCTCGTCTCAAGGAAGGTGCTAATATCAATCGATCATTGACAACACTCGGCAAGGTCATTGCTGGCTTGGCTGAACAATCCATGAACGAGGGCAAGAAGAAAAAGAAAGAAGCCTTTATTCCTTATCGTGATTCGGTATGTAAGCGTATGTATATGAGATAGGGGATCAGGGTCACTAATAATGTTCATTGTAATCCCCAGGTCCTCACGTGGTTATTGAAAGATTCATTGGGTGGCAACTCAAAGACGGCCATGATTGCAGCCATTTCACCAGCCGATTATGATGAGACATTGAGTACGCTTCGTTATGCCGATCAAGCCAAGAAGATCAGAAACAAGGCTGTTGTGAATGAGGATCCAAACGCAAAGATGATTCGTGAGCTCAAGGATGAGTTGGAAGTGTTGCGTGATCGACTACGAACATATGCACCTGAGGAAGTTGAGCAGCTGACAGCAAAGAGCTCGTACAAGAACAATGATGCCAAAGGTCGACAAAATTCGATGCCTGTGTTTTCGAAATCAGCTTTGAATAAGGCACAACAACAGCTGGAGATTGAGATCACGGATAGCCAAGGCACAAAGAAAAAGATGACGCGACAAGAGATTGTGGATCAGCTACAGAGCTCTGAAAAGTTATTGGCCAATTTGAATGAGACATGGGAGGAAAAGTTGAAAAAGACGGAGCAAATCCATGTCGAACGTGAAAAGGCGTTGGAAGAATTGGGTATTGCAGTACACAAAAACAACGTTGGCGTCTATGCTCCAAAGAAAATGCCGCATTTGGTGAATTTGAACGAGGATCCTCTCATGTCAGAATGTCTCATGTATCAAATCAAACATGGCATCACCAAAGTGGGTCGAGATGACAGCGATGATCCCCCTGATATTCGACTTTCTGGATCCAATATTCAAGATGGCCATTGCTATTTTGAGAACAACAATGGAGTTGTCACCATCCATCCCAATGGCGATTCAGTGACAATGGTCAATGGCATGCGTATTTCCGAGCCTCGTCGTCTACGTAGTGGATATCGCATTATCCTTGGTGATTATCATATTTTCCGCTTCAACCATCCTGAAGAAGTACGACGTGAACGAGGTTTACAAAAGACTGCTGTTGAGAAAGCTGCCATGGGAGGCAATAGTCCATCACCTACAAGCGATAGCGTTGATCATGATGAGCGACCTGGATCACCCACTGAGACAGCTAGCATGATTGGATCTGAAGTTATCGATTGGAATTACGCACGCCGTGAAGCTGTACTCAAGTATTACGCCAACGAGAGCAACTTTGGTGATATGAAGGATGAGGATTTGGAAAAGCTCTATGATGATATCACTCGAATTCGCAACAATCGCCGAACAACGAGATCTGAAAGTCGCACTGATAACTATGATGATGATTCTTCGGGTGACTCCTATCGCAACTCCATGTCAGTGGCCACAGTGCTCAATGACGGGCTCGAGAGCGTATGCACTGAAACCACTGTACACAGCGAACTTGAGGAAAAGTTTCGAGTTGAAAAGGAAAAGCTGCAAAAGGAATTGGTGAATCAAAAGCGCAACTACGAAGCTGAAATTACACGCATGTCACGCCAATTTTCGCAACAGCTCATGACCAACGGCCCACCAGGAGGATACACTGAACAACAAATCGCATTAGCACGCAAGGTGGCAGCACAGTGGAAAGGGTTACGTTATGTCGCCATGGCTGAAGTCGTGTTGACAAATGCCGTGATGCTCAAGGAAGCCAATATTATTTCACGCGAGCTTAATAAGGATGTGCTGTATCAGTTTACGATCATTGAAGACGGCCAATTTTCGAATCCAATGTCCTATTGGGAGACGACATCAGCATTGCACCAATTTGAGACGGATGAAGATACCACATTGATATCCACACCAAAACCATGCATTGGCGTGCGTGTGATTGATCGCAAGCACCAAGTTGTTTATGTATGGTCGCTTGAACGACTTAAATTGCGACTACACAAAATGCGTAATCTCTACAACTTTGTTGATCGACCCATGTACCGCAGCCATTTCAATTGGGAAGATCCCTTCTTTGAAGATCCATGTCCAAAATATTCATTTATTGGCAGCGCTTCTACATCGATTCGTAACCTTGCATTACAACAACCTTACGAGAGCAACATGGAGATTATTTGTCGTACCACAGGTCAAATCAAAGGCATGTTACGTGCGATCATTTCACCTATTGCACGATCAGTCGCTATCAAGGGCCCAGAAGCAAGGATTTCATTATCCGATCTCGACAATGAGGAAGTGGATCAAGAAGACGATGAAGTGGATGACGATGGATTCATGCTACGAGTTGGCCAACAATTACTTTTTGAGATTCGATTGGTTGAATTGACAGGCATCATTGATGCTGATTACCAAGATGTGCATGTGCAATTCAAGCTATCATCATTTGGCGGTATCCCAGAGCACTCCACAGCTGAAAAGGTGTTTGCGACGGATCCTATCAGTGACTTTGAGAATGGACCTATTCGCCTTGATCACAGCCAAACTATTTCTCTGGTGGTGACACGAAGTGTGATGGATGTATTAATGCAAGGCATGATTTCATTCGAGATCTTTGGCGTGGCACAAAATCGTGTATTATCGCAACATGAGCGATGGGATGATCAGCGTGAAAAGCCAAGGTTGGCAGATTTACTTGCAGCAAATCGACCCATGAATGGCTCCTCAAGCACTCTAAGTAATGGCAGCACAACGCATCGTACAGCAGCATCTGATCAAGCATCCATTCACTCAAATCACACAGCTAATGGCACCCTTGAACGACGCTCTGAAGAGGAACTTCTCGCTGCTGAACGACATGATGTACTTTCATGGGCACAAATATGCGAACTATCACCGAATGGCGACTATGTGCCTGTGCCTGTCACCTCACACAATGCACTTGACAGGGGTGTATTTACGCTGCGTCAAGGTCTTCAACGTCGTATTTGCTTGACATTGTCACATACCTCAGGGCGTCAATTTGAATGGAGTCGGATATCGCGTGCGAGTGTGGGACGAGTACGACTCTTGGATCCGAAAGGAAGGATTATTGATGCACCAGCACATGACGACATTCCTATCAAGCTCCTGTCACAACAAAGCGTGGTGTACAACAATGATGGCACAAGTCAGCTGACCGCTCAGGGTGCGTGGGATAGTTCACAGCATGAATGTTTATTTTTGAACCGTATCACAGCCCACAATACTCGAATCTTGCTCAACTTGAGATGGGAAATTGAGGCAGCAAAGTGCTCCAAACCTGTTCAGTTTAGCATGGACATTGCTGTTCGTATCCATGGTCGTGATGGTGCTGCTTCTTCTGGTACTCGCTCTCGTTTACGAAAATTGCTTGGTGCATCCACTGAAAAGCAGTTACCCAAATGCAGTGCCATGTTCCTTGTTCATTTACGACCCCCCATGACACGCCGACTTAGCCAATTGTGGCGTCTGAATACCGTATCCAAATATGTGCGAGGTGAAGAATATCTTGGAAGTTGGCGGCCTCGTGGTGTATCCTTGGTCAATGATTATAAACACATCCGTGAACGCATTCGTCGCAAGGAAGCTGTTGCTTTTACAAAACAAGTGCTCACCTTACAGCAACAAAGGAAGCAGCTACCTCCGTTAGCTATCCATGGTGCTTCATCATCCTCTTCAGCAGCAGATGCCGACGATGCATTATCAGAACGACAAGCTGCTTTAGCACAAAAAGTGCTTGATCTTTGGAAGCAAAAATATGGTACTCATAAAGAGGTAAGATATAAAAGTGCATCCTTTTCGCTATTGGATGATACTAATGCATATGCTTTTTTGATAGATTGTGATTAGTCAAGATCCACCCATACCCGGCATGCCTGATTTTGATTTACGGCAAGAAGAACGAGACTGTTCCAAATTGCTCGCTGAAGTAAAATTGGTCACTCAAAGGTAAATGACAATGAATGAAAATGAATGAATGACGACAACTGATCTTTGATTGTTGTTATAGCGACAATGTATCTAAACGAGGATATTTGACATACCAAGAAAGTGCCGTTCATGACAAATGGATCAAGTTGTGGTTCGTTGTTCGTCGACCCTATATATATATTTACATGGATCAATCGGAAACGGATGAGCAAGGCGTTATCAATATTTCATCGGTGCGCATAGATTACAACCAAGCCTTGGAGCAAATGATAGAGGCAAGTAGTGTAAAAGGGGGATTGGTTGGAAGGGTTACAATGCTAAATGACTTTTTACAGCGATCCAATGTATTCGCCCTTTATACCAGCAACAATGCATACACATTACAAGCCTCGTCAAGAGCAGATATGATCGATTGGATATCCAAGATTGACCAGATGTTTCCCATTGAAAAACTGAAAAATGATACACTTTGATTGTGTTTTCCCTCCACACACACACCCTTCCATTCGTTTACATTTGTAGCTCTTTCTTTTACATACCCACTTTTTTATCTACAATTTATCTATCTATATGCATTAACAATTACGTATCTATATCTATATCAATTTGTTGGTATGTATTTGGAGACAACCGCAGCATGATCGTACTACAGCAATGGAGGATCTGTGTGACTGATAACTCCGAGATTTCTTCTTGTTTTTTCAAGACCAATTTTTGCAGTATTCAACTTCTCTTCCTTTAATACACACACCGACCACCGACCACCGACCATGGGAAAGAAAAAGTCTGCCAATAAGAGAAAGGACGATTACTGGTATGTCTAATGAACAGACGCATGGTACAATGGAGCAACAAGGAAACTGATTAACGTATTTAGGGATGACGAGTTTGAGGAGGATATGAATGCCGCAGCTGTTGCTGAAGAATCCGAAGACGATGAGGCTTTCGCCAAAAAGGCAGCTTCGTTCAGTGCATTAGCGGTCGAGGACGATGATGAAGATGATGGGTAAAGTATCATATTATAAAGGGGGATATAGATACAAGACACGTATACTGATCCATTGGTATTAGTTTGATGGCTATGGTCAATCGTGCAGCCAAGACCAAGGTCAAGAAGAACAAGAAGAAGAAACAGGTGGTCGAATCTGAAGAAGAAGAAGAGGAGGAACCAGCACCAGCACCTGTCCAAGCTGATGATCTTGATGAGGAAGAGGATGATTGGTTCAACGACAACAAGAAGAACAACAAGAAAAAGAACAACAAGAAACAGCAACCTGCCGCTGCCGCGGCTGCACCAGCTGTTGAGGAAGAGGAGCCAAAGCGTATTTTGAGCAAGAAGGAAAAGGAGCGTCTTAAGAAGGAACGTGAGCGTGAAGCCAAGCGTCTTGCCAACATTGAAAAGAAGAAAAAGGAGGCTGAGGAAGCAGCAAAGAAGGGCAATCAACAGCAAAAGCAACAACAACAACAAAAGCCCAAGGAAGAACCTGCAGCTGAACCAGAATCTAAGAAGAAGGCAGCACCTGCTCCTGCTCCTGCTCCTGCTGGTGGTAAGGGCAAAAAGAAGGGTCCCGCTGGTATTGCCGCTTTGAGAGTATGTCATTTTGGACTGATTGGGTGTGTGATTCCATGGTTACTAATAATGAATTTTAGAAACAATTGGAGGCTCAAAAGGCTGCTGAGGAAGAAGCCAAGCGTAAGGAAGAGGAGGAACGTCAACGTGCCCTTGAAGAAGAAAAGAAGCGTCGTGAGGAAGAAAGAGCCATCAGAGAAAAGGAGCGTGAAAAGCGTGCAAAGGCTAGAGTAAGGCATCACTACCATGATTATATATTGGCAATCAAGTATGACTTACAAATATGGATCCAAATAGGCCAAGAAGGAACAACTTAAGGCTGAAGGCAAATATATGACCCGATCCCAAAAGGAGGCAGCAAAGAAGGCCAAGTTGCGTACCGAGCAATTGCTTGCTTCTGGACAGATCAAGATTGCTGCTTTCAACGAAGACAACGAGTCGAATGAATCTGGATCAGCTGCTGAACCTGAAAAGAAGAAGCGCATCGTCTACGAGAGCAAGAAGCGTAAGGGTCCCAGCAAGGCAGAGCTTGAGAAGAAGAAGCGTGAAGAAGAAGAGGAGCAAAGACGTCGTGAGGAGGAGGAACGTAAGCGTAAGGAAGAAGAGGAGGCTGCCAAGAAACAACAAGAGCAGGAAGAATGTAAGTTTTCAACAATTTTTTGTGATGGATCGATGATTGACATTTTGTTATGATAGCTTCTGATGATGATGATTGGGAGAAGGCTGCTGATAGCACTGATGAGGAAGAAGATAAGGCTGCTGCCAAGGAAGACAATGTCAAGGATGATTGGGAAGATGAATCTGAAGAGGAGGAAGCACCCAAGAAGGAAGAAGCCAAGAAGCCTGCTGCTGCTGCCACTCCTGCTAAGAAGGCTGAGGAAGAGAGCGAATCTGAGGAAGATAGCAGTGATGATTGGGATGAGGATAGCGATGAGGAAGATTTGTCTCCTGCTCAACTTGCTGCTCTCAAGAAGAAGGAAGAGGCTGCTGCTCGTCGTCAACAACGTCAAAAGGACGCTTTGGCTGCTCGTTCTAAGGATGATTTGCGTTCACCTATTTGCTGTATTCTTGGTCACGTCGATACTGGTATGTAATTGGAATCATGAGGAAAATATAAAGGCTTGGATACTAATAGGCCCTTGTCATTGATGATAGGTAAAACCAAGTTGCTTGACAAGATTCGTCAAACCAATGTCCAAGAAGGTGAAGCTGGTGGTATTACCCAACAGATTGGTGCTACCTATTTCCCTGCCGAAGCCATTGAAAAGAAGACTGCTGTGTTGGGCAAGGATCAAGTTGAGCAAATGAAGGTGCCTGGTTTGCTCGTCATTGATACTCCAGGTCACGAGTCTTTCACCAACCTTCGTAGCCGTGGTAGCTCTTTGTGTAACATTGCCATTTTGGTGGTCGACATTATGCACGGTCTTGAACAACAAACTCTTGAATCCATTCGCTTGTTGCGTGATCGTCGTACACCTTTCATTGTCGCCTTGAACAAGATTGATCGTCTTTTCGAATGGAAGGCAACTCCCAACAACTCCTTCAAGGATTCGCTTGCAAAGCAAAAGAAGTCTGTCAGACAAGAATTCGAGACTCGTTTGGAAAAGACCATCCTCGCCTTTGCTGAACAAGGTCTCAACGCCGCTCTTTATTACAAGAACCCCAACTTTGCAAAGTACGTCTCATTGGTGCCCACTTCCGCCCACACTGGTGAAGGTGTTCCCGATATGCTCAACTTGTTGGTCAACTTGACCCAGACCCGTATGAGTGACAAGTTGATGTACGTTACCGAGCTTGAATGTACCGTCTTGGAAGTCAAGGTGATTGAAGGTCTTGGTACTACCATTGATGTTGTCCTTGTCAATGGCTGGTTGCATGAAGGCGACAAGATTGTATTGTGTGGTCTTAATGGCCCTATTGTTACCCAAGTCCGTGCATTATTGACTCCTCAACCTATGCGTGAATTGCGTATCAAGTCCCAATACGTTCATCACAAGTCCGTCAAGGCTGCTCTTGGTATCAAGATTGCTGCTCCTGATCTCGACAAGGCCATTGCTGGTTCTCGTTTGCTTGTGTGTGGTCCTGAGGATGATGAAGATGATCTCAAGGAAGAAGTCATGTCCGATTTGACCAACTTGATGAACTCTATCGATCGCCAAGGCAAGGGTGTGTGGGTGCAGGCGTCCACGCTTGGTTCATTGGAAGCTTTGCTCGAATTCTTACGCACCAGCAACATTCCCGTCTTTGGTATCAACATTGGTCCTGTGCATAGAAAGGATGTGGTCAAGGCTAGTGTCATGCTTGAAAAGGCCAAGGAATATGCCGTCATGCTCTGTTTCGATGTCAAGGTTGAAAAGGAAGCTGAGGAAATGGCCGATGATTTGGGTATCAAGGTGTTCAAGGCCGACATTATTTATCACTTGTTCGATCGCTTTGTCGAATACAACAAGTCCATGTTGGAAGAAAAGCGTAAAGAACAAGCCGGTCAAGCTGTATTCCCCTGTATCCTCAAGATGGTTCCTCGTGCTATCATCAACAAAAAGAACCCTATCATCATGGGTGTGGATGTTGTCGAAGGATCTTTGCGTCTTGGTACTCCCATTTGTGTTGTTCGTCCTAATGCTGAAGGTGTACGTGAAGTGACAGTACTTGGCAAGGTCACATCCATGGAACAAAACCACAAGCCTATGGAGGTTGTCAAGAAGGGTCATGGTGGTGGTGGTATTGCCATCAAGATTGAAGCTTCAAGTGGTGATCAAGCCAAGACTTATGGTCGTCACTTTGATGAGTCTGATGAATTCTATAGCCGTATCACTCGTACGTCTATCGATGTGCTCAAGGATTCCTTCCGAAAAGATTTGTCCAAGGAAGAATGGGCATTGGTGGTCAAGCTCAAGAAGGTTCTCGGTGTAGACTAAAATTACTATTGTTTGAAATTATGTACCCCATCGTTTTTGCATGCTCATGTATATCAACCCTTTCACGCACTCACACACACACACACTCACTCACTCACAATTCTCTTATTCTCACCCACAACACTACACACTTTTAAAAAGATACAACATTTCGATCATTCATCGAAGAGAAAAAAGGGATTAAACTTAATTCTTTGTGTATTTGTACAAATCATGCATTGTGTGTGTATTCATTGTATTTGGCTTTAAAGAGAGCTTGGATGATTTTGGAGTTCCGGTTAGACCTTTTGGGATGTGATTCATGACATGTGATCTCAATTTGAATTCCAGGAAATAAGGTCGCCTTTTCATTTATCCATCTGGATGGGACATCAGAAAGGGGGTGGAGGAGAGAAGATGTATATTCTATGGGAGGGAAAGAAAGAGACAAAAGTAGTGGCTGAGATATACCTATTGATTAGATACGAGATCAAGTATACTATGCACATGTTTTGTTTTCTTTTTCTTCTCGTGAGACGACGATGACGAGATATGGCTGGTCTTTCGAGCTAATCACCGTGGAACGAGTTCCATTGAATTGAGTCATTTGATTGGCTGTCGACCTTTTAGTAAGACACAACTTTGTGGTGGCGGTCTTCATTTCCCCACAGCTTGCGTTCTTTTATTTCTCTTCTTATCCTTACATCATTTACATTTCTTGACACACACACAACTCATACTTTTGCCATTCATGTCTTCCACAATGACGGCAACGGCTGGTACTGCTGCCCCTTCACCTTCATCCTCCACACAAAATGAAAAACGCCCTGTACAACGGAAAAAGAAAGCCGCTCGAGCATGTATCCACTGCCAAAAGGTACACTTTTATTGCAACATTGTCGACATTGGATAGCCTACTAACAATGGTCTTGTCGCTTAATCGATAGGCTCACTTGACTTGCGATGACTGTAAGTATGCGTTATGAAATCGTCAACCAGATTCACTGATCGGCTGTTCGATTAGCCCGACCCTGTCAACGATGTATAAAACGAGATCTCGCTTCTACTTGTACTGATGGTGCTCGGAAAAAGGCCAAGTATCTTCAGGATGTGCATGGTTAGTATTTTCTCGGATGATGGGTGAGAGTGATGATATCTAATAGTTGTATACAATAGACCTTGCTGTCAATGATCCCAACGAATTACAGCAACAGCAGCAACAACAACAGCAACAACAGCGTTTCCAAACACCCATAGGATTAGCAGCAACACCAGGTGCATTGAACGATACGAGCAACATGGCTGGTCCAATCGTTGATCCAAACTCGTTTGTGAATGGTATGTGAACACATGGTTGAGTCGTGGTAAGAGCTAACGGTTATGATTCAGGCAATCAACTTGGATTTGATTATGGATTTGGATCATCAGCGACCAATCTTGAATACTCGTTCTTGTCAAGTATGTTGGGTACTGGCATGGATACGACGTTTTTGGATCAAAATCCACCATCACAACCAACGGCAGGCACACCATCATCCACAGCATCCAGTAGTCAAGTACAGCCACAACCTCCGCAACCCACATCTTCTACTACTCCTGCAAGTCTACCAGCTGATTTATGGTCCAACAATAGTATCGCGACGAATGCATCGCCTCATCAACAATCCACCAGTGACGTGATGAATCCATTCCCAGCACTCGAAAGCAACAGTGCCAATAACCCCATTGCACCGTTGTTCAATACGCCTGGTACCGAGACCAATTTCTTGACTGGAACAGAGAATGCTACAGCACAATCATCATCACCGGCAACTCCACATGCAACCTCTTTACAGGCTTATGGCGAAGGTGCTGTTTTAGCTAAAGCAGAAAGCCCCATCACATCAGCAGCTACACCAACCACAGCCACCGGTAGGCGGCGTACACAGCTCATGACCCCTGAAATGGCGTATGCAAGTGCCAACAAGCCTTTTAGTTATGCTGATGGATATCATTACTTGATCAACTATGTGCGACAAAAGTAAGTATTGAGGATGTAATGAGGAATTGCTATGCAAATACTTAAGGTATGGTAAAGAATGTCTAGGGAAGATTTGATGCGCATCAGCAGAGCTTTGGCACTTTTCAGACCAAGTGTGTTGGCGTCCATGATGAATTTAACCGAGGATGATCTCATTTTTACCGAAAAGTGTCTTCAGCGGACGTTGTTGGTAAGCTATTATCTTTGGATTATGGATGATCTGGTTTTGCTAACTGTAACGATGGTATCAGGAATACGAAAAGCTGATTAGTTACTCTGGTACCCCAACAGTGGTTTGGCGACGCACTGGCGAGATTGCTTTGGTGGGCAAGGAGTTTTCATTATTGACACAATGGTCGCGTGATTCCCTTTTGAGCAAAAAGACGTATATTTACGAGGTAAGGGTTTAAGGATCCAGCGTTATTATTAGTGGTAATGATATTGATGTGCTTTGCTTTAGCTCATGAGCAACTCATCGGCTGTCGAGTATTGGGAAAAGTACGCATTACATGCCTTTGACAATACGGATTCTGCGGTTTACAGTTCTTGTATCTTGATGAGTCCTACCAAACGTGTTGTACCGTGTACATTTTGCTTTACGATCAAGCGTGATATCTTTGATTTACCGAGTGTCATCATTGGCAATGTAAGTAGTGGTGGTTGGACTCTTTTTTCCCTGTCAGTGACTAACTTGGGCGATTTCGATTTGTAGTTCTTGCCAATCCTAAGTTAAAACCCATATGAAGGCATTCAACTGCCCACATTGCATCTTTTTTTATCCTCCTTTTTCATATCAACTGCATATCACACTCTCTACCTGATCCGCACCGTTACCATTTGTCCCGACTTGTCACCTTCCGTCTTTATTAGATAGTAACATGCGTGTGTACACTAATAATCATTTTGCATCTTGTACATTAAAGAAACCTTTTACACTTTTCACAATGGCAAGCTGTACGCTACTAAATGAATCTATGCTGTAAGGAATGCTGTGAGTGATGTCGTTGGCTAGCTTGCAAGTGTGAGGGATAGCTTGTTAGTTGTGAGGGAAGATCCCATGTCAAGGGCAGAGAAAATGAGGGTCTCAGAAGCTCCAAACGGCCACTTAGCAATTAGTTATGTATACTATAGGATACAACCTTTGTTCAAGACACAATGAGTCAAACAAGCACTTCCTCTTCCTCTTTGTTCCTTTCCTTATCACAGCATTTACAAGTGGATAAACCGGCATTTACCCCTTCTATAATATGTAGCATCCAGTGCCCTCACACGAAGAGGCCCGACTCTGAAGATCTCTTACATTATAGAAACTTGGAAATGGTTGGCCAACGCAATCTCGTATTTCATCAAAGTAATCCTTTAATCCAACATCATTCACAAGAGAGATCGAATTGCTGTAATAGGGGAGATACATCGATGTGGGAAGTTTCTATCCTTTGGCCGTGCGTTGTGCAAAGGTGAACGGATGAATGCGAGGTGGCACTTGATGCGTGGTGGCAAATCATATGCAGCTTGGTGATGATGGTTGACTTGTTGCACAACGAATGATGATAGCAGCTGCCATGGAATAGCGTATAGAGTACGTAATCAGATGCAACAATCATTCACGATGGTAAGGCCAATGGCCAAGTTGACAATGGATACACTCTTTTCCACGCGTAGTATACAACCAGATCCTTCCATCCCATATACCAAACCAATATCCAAAACAACGCGTATGTATTGCAGCGAATTGCTACACGTATATAAAGCTGCTGCTGTACGATGGCTATCTGCTGTTCACGTAGAGAAAGACTGCTGCACGCAACTTGAGACAATGGAGTAAAGACTTTGCTAGCTGCTACGTGTTGTTGTGGCCGAGGAGTGTACAAGAGCGTGTGTGGTAGTATAGAGTGACAAGGTTGTGGATGCTGTTTGAGACAATGCAATAAAGACCTTGCTAATAGCAACTGCTGTAATGAATGCTGTAACGTTTGATTGTGGCAGAGGAGTGTGCAAGAGAGTGCGAAGAAAGGTGTGTGGTGTAGTGGCGTGTACACGCCATGGATTTGCCATTCAGCCAAAGACAATGGGATCAAGACAGCTGTAGGATTGACATGATGGGTGCGTTGAAGCAGGACAATCGTTCACAGGTGGTAATTGTACTCGAATGGGGCAACAGTTGAGAATGGGAAGAAGAGGAAAGAAACAGGGAGGGGAAGACCTGGAAATTAACTTGATTTTTCCTTGTTCTTGCATGATACTCCTGTGTTTAAGCGTTGCTCAGTCAAATCCCCTCGGATCAAGAAAGTTGAAGGATGGAAACGATGGGCTGGAGTAGCAGAATCGTTCACATGCATTGGATTGGGTGATAAGGATGATTGGGAGGAATGGGCTATCAACCAGCAGTTTACAAATAACTATTCAATTTAATCTTTCTCATATTGGATGATACTTCTGTGTTTGACCACAACTCAGTCAAATCCTCTCGGATCATGAAAGTTGAATGATGGGCATGCTGGGCTGGAGCAGGACAATCGTTTGTATGCATTGGATTGGACAACAATGGTGATAGGGAGGAATGGGCTGCTAGCTGGCAGTTTACAAATAACTAATCAATTTGATCTTTCTCATATTGGATGACACTTCTGTGTTTGATCAAATCCCATCGGACCAAGAAAGTTAAAGGATGGAAATGATGGGCTGGAGCAGGAGAATCGTTCGTATGCATTGGATTGAACAACAATGGAGAATGGGAGGACTAAGGTTATTAGCTGGCATTTTGAACTATCCTAAATGGTGTACAAGAATCATGCATCGCCTGTGCTGAATGACTCAAGTTACACAAACACGCCCTCTGCATCTTTTGCTCTATTATAGTCATACTACTTTACATTAAACAAAGACCACTTCTCATATAGCATCACCCTTACAGCATATGTAAAACATACAGGTACCTGTATCTCCAAACTTTACAATCAAACGTGGGCTCTTTAATAGATCAACGTGCTTGTCGGGGTCAAAGGAATCTTGTGTCAAAGTATGAAGTTCATCGTGGGCGATCCCAGATTTCGCAATGTCGCTACCAGCCAAACTGGATCTGGGGCTCAACCTCTTTCGACGACGACCAAAAAATATTTTTTGAGCTGTTTGCGACATTGAATGCGAAACTTTCACACAAGGTGCTGTTGGCCAAGCCGAGCCCTTTGCTCCAATAAAAACCCCACGTTTCATTGTAAAGTTTGGAGATACAGGCACCTTTATGTTTGTAAGCGTGATGCTATATGAGAAGTGGTCTTTGTTTAATGTAAAATAGCTAGACCCTGACAGAGCAAAAGATGCAGAGGGTCGTGTTGTGTAACACAGCTACGTTTGCATGAATGAAAGGGTCAATGTATAATTACTTTATGGATCATCTAGGAACAGGCATGTATTGCTAGCTAACGGCCACTTTGATCCAATCATCATTGTTACGAGATCCACTGCATGGGAACGATGCCCCTGCTCTAGACATTCATTTCCATGATTAAAGTAGGTTGATCCGAGCTGATTTGACTGAGCTGCGGTCAAAGAGAGATTACATCACTCTGGACATAAAGCACGCTCGATGTAGCTCAACCGATGTAATCTTGTGTGAGCGTAACTCAACCAAATCAGCTCGGATCAACCTACTTTAATCATGGAAATGAATGTTTAGAGCAGGAGCATCGTCCACCTACAATAGAATACACAAAAGTTGGGAATGCACAAAAGTGGCTATTAGCTGCCAATGTATGACATAAAAGTGAGAGTTGCGTACCATTCATGCATTGTCCCTGAAGTCCTGACTTTTTAGCTGAGTTACCCAAAGAGGTCCTTCTGCATCTTTGGCTCTCCAGGGTCGAGCTGCTTGGCAATGAACAAAGACCACTTCTCATATAGCATCACGCTTACAAACATAAAGGTGCCTGTATCTCCAAACTTTACAATCGAACGTGGGGTTTTTATTAGAGCAATGTGCTCGGCTTGGCCAACTGCACCTTGGGTGCAAGTTTCAAGTTCATCGTGGCTAATCCCAGATTTCGCAATGTCGCTACCAGCCAAACTGGATCCGGGGGTCAACCTCTTCGACGACGACGACCAAAAAAATATTTTTTGGGCTGTTTGCGACATTGAACGCGAAACTTTCACACAAGGTGCTGTTGGCCAAGCCGAGCCCATTGCTCTAATAAAAACCCCATGTTTCATTGCAAAGTTTGGAGATACAGGCACCTTTATGTTTGTAAGCGTGATGCTATATGACAAGTGGTCTTTGTTCATTGTCAAGTAGGTGGACCCTGGCAGAGCAAAAGATGCAGAGGGACGTGTTTGTGTAACACAGCTACTTTGCATGACTGGAAGGATTGATGGATTATACTGTATGGTCTATCCACAATAGTCCATATAGTGTACGCTATCAGCCATTTCCTCACAATCAGCGTTGTTGCAAAATCCACTGCATGTGAACGATTCTCCTGCTCCAGCCGAGCATTTCCATCATTCAAGTTTCTTGAACCGAGCCGATTTGACTGAGCTACGCTGGTACAGCAAACATGAAAATTAATGAATCGCAGGGTCTGCGAATGTCTCCGTCTTTCAAACTTTTGGAAGCTCCCATTCCAAATTTTCAAATGAAACGTGAGGTCTTTATTATGAAAAAGTTGATAAGCATGCTCGAGAGCACCATGCTGACCAATTTTCAAGTTGGAGGTGGGCAACTTCGGGGCGGTGGGCCGTCCGCTCGTTTGTTCGTGTCATCCACCATTTGGATCGCCCCGCATTTTAAATCTTCACAATGAAGTCTGCGACTTTTAAATGAATGAAGTTGATCAGCATGACCCAGCGAACCTTCTGACAAAGTTTCATGTTCGAGATGGGGAATCCCAAGGTAATACATACTATTTCCATAGATCATGAACCCGGCGCTGCCATGCTTTCCGATCTCCATAGTAAATCCCACATTGTACCCTCCCATTCAATATTTTTAAATGAGCATTAATACAACATTGATCAGCACACCTAAGAGCACCTTGTGTGAAAGGTTCAGGTTCGAAGAGGGGGTAATCTCAATATCAAGGTTTGGATGTACAGTGTTCATGCATTTATACAAGAGGTGTCCGATCGATTTACTTTCCACTTCTTCCACTCTCAGCTCTTCCCTCTACCTCCCATTCTCAACTGTTGCCCCACTCAAGTATACAACTACCACCTGCGAATGATTGTCCTGCTGCTACCCATCATGTCAATCCTACAACTCGCTTGATCCGAATGTCTTTGACTGAATGGCAAGTCCATGGCGTGTGCACCCCACTACAACACCCGCGTTTCTTGACACTTCACCTTCTCTTGTACGATCATGGACGACAATCAAACGTAACAGCATTCATTACAGCAGTTGCTATTGGCGATGTCTTTACTCCATTGTCTCATACAGCATCCACAACCTTGTCGCTCTACTACAACACACGCGTTTGCACACTCCTCGGCCACAATAACACGTAGCAGCTAGCAAGATCTTTACTCCATTATCTCAAGTTACTTGCAGCAGTCTTTTTTTTACATGAGCAGCGCATAGCCAATGTATCAAGCAGCTTTATTTACGTGTAGCAACTTGCTTCAATACATACGAGGTGGTTTGGATGATTCTATATCAGCTATCAAGTACACCACAACACAAGCGATCTTCACCTGGCTGAGGTGCGAAGGAATGATCGAGAAAGGATTGGCCAACAGCTGGATCAAGAAGGGAACATGCCAGCAGCAATATTGGACTTGCCATGTTTACGGATGGATGGATGCAATCAGGTGCAGTATTGGGGAATCCAAGAATGTCTCTTTGATTACTTGTCGCCTTGTCAGCAGGAACGATGGATCTTGTCACGTGGATACGGCTGAGGATGGTGATGGATGGGATGGAATTGAGGAGAAGGCTTGTATCTTTGACGAATGGTGTTTTACAGTCATGGATGGTATTGGAATACGCGAGTCAATGCAATGCAGCAGCTATTTCCCAAACATGGATGATGGATGTTCATGAGGTCTTCAAAGTAGTTTGTAGTTGCAAACGTGTATTTATAAGAAAAACATTAAACACCACGCTATGATACAGCCTATGATTGCTGCTATAAGATATTGTCCTGCTTGATCTAATTCTTCTGGGGTGGGCTCATGGAACCATGGTGGTGGTAATGATGGTGGTGGAAACCAAGTAGGATAACAACCACCTGGAGGGCGTGTAGTGCTACGTAGGAGGGGACGGTGTGGTGACAGGAGTTGGTGTATGGACCAGCAGGTCAATGATTTCTCGTGGATGATGTGTAGCGTTTCATTGTTACCCTCCCGCTTTCATTGTCATTGTGACATTTGGCTCTTTTACTTAAGGTAGAATCTAACCAGGACGCTTGATGAAGCACATACACATATTCCTTGTATGTAGGTACCTCCCGATTTGAGGTGAGATTCTTGTTTCTTGCAATTAGGTGATAAGAACATCAATCACCTCGTCAAGGCATGTACTTTTGTTACCTACAAAGGAGTCCCAAAATCCTATCAGACTAGGCATCCTTTTACTATTAAATGATAGTTATATTTACCACAAAGGGTCATCAAGGAACACATCCAAATGTCATTAGGCAGCAATGAGCACACCAAGTGGTGATAAAGCAATGATGTGAGCTGCATAGTTGGATGCATGAGTACCCTCATTTATGGAATCACATAAAGACTAGCTTTGCGGCTTATCAGAAGCCATTGATGATGATCTGAAGACAAGTAGAAAGAAAGGGCGTGTGGTAGTGTTGGTGACAACAGCGTTGTTTATATGCTGATAAAGTGGTCAAGTATTTTGAATTACCAAAGCGAAGTGATGCAAAATCACTGCTGGTAAACCCATTTGCCACAAGGTGATTCTTTGTAGGTGGCAAAGTATGCCCCTTGTCGTAAAACTATTGACAGGTTTTCATTCATGGTTGTTGTGGAAAAAAGAGGAAGGGGAGAAACGAAGTGTAATGATTAAGGTAGAGGATACCTTATTCATCACTCTTGAGTGGCGGGATATAAAATGATGCATGCGTTTGAATACATCAACAATGAACGAAGCATGGCACGTAGTGGAATGACTGATTCTGGTAGGGTTGATGAAAAGGAAGGAGATCAGCTGCTACATCTGGTAATTGAAAATCGCTCTCTTGGTTGTATTTTGCACTATGCATAGGTAGTAGCAGGCCCAAACCCAAGGTATAGGCCATATGAGTCTTAAGTGGCGCCTGCAGGGCTGTCAAAGCATCCGGGATTTGATTTAGTGTAACTGAGATTTTCTAAATCTGGTTGCTTGAACTCCTTCTTTTCTTTCACTTGCAGCAATCTTCATATGACTGAACAACAACAAGACCGGGAGACCAAGGTCGCCATTGTTACCGGTGCCAATGCAGGTGTTGGATACGGCATCATACAACGACTCTTGGAGCAAGAAGAGGATATCCAAATCGTCATGGCATGTCGCAATGGGGGTCGAGCCAGCCGAGCTAGACTTTCACTCCTGCAGCAGTTTCCATCAGCCAACATCAACATTGAACTCGTGGACTTGGCCAATGCTCAATCCGTCTTTAGGTTTTGCGATAATATCAAGTCAAGGTAAATGAGGAAACGAGAACGATAAAGCAACGTTGCTCATCAGGGAGTGCATTCCAGGTACACCTCTATCAACTACTTGTTCTGCAACGCGGGTATCTTGAGCACACTTGGCCTTAACTGGAAGGAGCTCGTTTGGCTATTCTTTCAGGATCCTGCTGGTTTCTTTGAGCGTTCAGATGCTACGATCCAAGCAACAGGCGAGATCAACGAGGATGGCATGGGCAAAGTGTTTGCAGCCAATGTGTTTGGTCATTATGTGATGGTAAGAGACACGCTAGGATCACATGTGCCCTATGGATGGAGATGATCACTAATGACATGAACCACCAGTTGCGTGAATTGGAAGGATTATTGGATGCAAGTGGTGATGCACGCGTGATTTGGACAAGCTCGTTGACTGCCGAGAAATCAGCATTTGATATCGATGATTGGCAAGGCTTGAAGAGGTAAATGAGTGCATTGAGAGCACGTATATCATCGTTGACTAATTGGCATCTTGTTTCCAATAGTACGTTCCCGTATGAATCATCCAAGTGGGCATGTGATTTGATTTCTATCAAGAGCAATGATCGTTATTCCAGTGAGAACCACCATATCATCTCTTTTACTACATCTCCAGGCGTCGTTGCGAGTGCTATTATTGACTTGCCAATGGTCTTGGCCAAATTGCGTGTTGGGTTGCAATATGTGGTAAGGACATTATATCATCCATGTTTGTCACGTGCTAAATCAATTCCTGTTTAGTATCGATTTTTGGGCGTCTCCTCGCAGACGATTACGGGATACGCGGGTGCCATTTCGAACGTTTATGTTGCTCTTCAGCCGCTGAAAGCACTCAACTACTTGTACCGCTATACCTCGCTGGCAGATCGTTGGGGCACACCCTATGTCGAAGCAACAACAGTTTCCGATTATGATCCCATGACAGCGGAAAAGTTACTACAACATTGCGAGCTCGCCTATCAAGCTCAAAAGCGACTAGTGTCATCATCCAAGAAATAGAAGCCACGACGAATATACAATACCCTTTACATTGATCAGAGAATCTCCAACCCCATGATCTAATATAATGCTACACACTATTTGAAGTAATACATTACTTGACATTTGGATGCTCTGTTTCATTGCTTCTTGAAGGATGTCTTCAACCGATGGATTGTTGGGATGATCAACTCGATTTTAGTGGCGAAAAGATTATCGCCGTTACAGTGATCCGTACCTTGTGGCATACAGAGGGCATCACAATCGATCCATCTGAAGGAAGATTGGGAGTGAAGCTACACTGCTAGGTTGACAACAAGTCACCTTTATGGTAATGCAGATGTGCATTAGGCATACAAGTGATTAACTTCTTTGATAGATTTCTTATCACCTGCCTCATTTTTGTCGATGTATTATGGATAGACAACATTGCGCCCCATCACTTTATCAGCTCATGCATCAATTTATCAATGCATCATCCCCAACAGACAACAATGCCCACGCCCACAATACACAATAAAAGGATGTTGTCGCCGCCCATCATACTCCCACATCTCTCTTTTCTCTGTCGTACTTCTTTGATTGCTTACAAGGCTAAATTTCCAAGGTTTGTACTTATCTCATTTCTTGCAAACTTTGTGAACAAGCGCTGATTCTTGTGGCCATTCATAAGGTTTCTTTGTTATCCTGCTCCCATTGTTGTTGACGTCCTGATATTGGATTCTTATAAAAAGGTAAAGCCTGATCATTTTGCTTGATGAGTCACTACATACTCATACACGCTACCTTGTTACTTCTGATATAGCTATCTCTCCGTGAAGCAGCTGCAAAAGTTGGTTTCTGTGCCATGGTCTACGTCTGAGTGCTGAATTTGACGTGATGGTGCAAATAGTAAAGTCCTTGAATTGGGCTCCTCTCAATGGAAGAAACACATAACACCGAAGAACCTTGGCATTCAGCAACAAGTGAAAAATGCACGTGCCAACAAGGCTATGCTGAAAGCAGTGGAAAGGATGCCATTGAATGAAGAGAATTGCGATGGTTTATTCGCCCTAGACATGAATTGGATCGGTAAGTGAATTTGACATGTACATGAAATGAAAATTAAGACGAAGGACGGTAGGTCCTGCTGGTTACATGATTTCAGTACAACACATGGATAAAGCATACGTCGTTCAGCATGTTGGTGACTTAAACACACCACAATCGTTGAACACATTGTCTGATTTCGAAGCCGCTCTCGAGTTATTATACCCGTTCAAGCATCACCACCACACCACCAAAGATTTAAAAGAATTATTGAACCTGCCTATCATCCCCGATCCATGCAACGCACGTTACAGCCCTGTCGAACACCAGCTACTCGTAAACATAGTATAAGCCTAGATACCTTTTCTACGCCAACCAAGATGCAGCGCACAAAGAAAGTCCTTATATTAGAATCTGAATCAGAAGTAGACGACGAGGAATAAATTTGGGTTCACTTGCGTGTTATTAGCAGCTGCATCGACTTTCCCGTTGGACTCATTGTGTTTCTCACTTTCGGCGCATGCCCTAAAATTAGGACAATGATAACATATGGTATCCCAGCTGGTCATGTCCTAGATCTAGAACAATAACAGCATTGGGCTCCACGCATCATATTTGAGATCCAAGTAGGAGAGTGATTGTTTCTTATTGAGGAGTGCTGCATGCATGTTTGCCTACACATACTAACGATCCTTTGCACCATTTGCTTTTATGGTCTGCAAAAGCTAAGTTTTGATAGTCATACAAGGATGTCCTTTGAGTGCTATCGATAGCATAGTGACAATGCATTCATACTTTTTTGCTTGATCACGCAACCAAGACAAATACTGTATGCAGCGTTAACATGTAAATGCATGCATACATAACGTTCATCTCATTCTCCTTTTGCAGTATTTCACATCTTTTCCCTTTATCATACCATGAATACCATTTCATCCACCAAAACAAATCCATTGGTCATTTCCATCGTTGCTGCCACGGCATTGATGACATCCATCACTTGCGCCATCAACTTTTGGCGGTCGTGGTATCTAAAAGACAAGGCTCAGCATGATGGTTTCAAGAAAATTCCACTAGCCAAGGGTGCGATCCCATACTTTGGTATATAAAAAGAGCAAAGGGAGACACAATGGTATCTCATACGTTATGTCCGTTGTACTGCAGGCCATCTATTTGCATTCCCCAAAGACGAGAATCCATCATCAACAATCATAAAGTGGCAAAATGAAACAGGTAAAAGGAGATGACATTATAATGGCTTGCATGATGTAGCGATTAAAGCTGCTCTTCTAAGGGCCTATCATGCGTATTTATATGGGTGTGCAACCGATTGTATTCATCTCAGATGCCTTACTTGCACACCAAATCTTAAATGTGCATGGTATCAAGACGGCCAATCGTCCTGGGCACAAGTATTGGAGGCTGTACCAATCGAGAGGACAAGGGGTTCCATTCAATGGCCCCAACGTTTGTTGGAGAAAAATACGCCAAGTATGTAAGTAGTAGTGCTAGCAAGAAGACGTCTAATACGTTGACTTGAACCATTTCACGGTGATGGAGTAGTATCCAAATTTGTATCCCAAGACCATGTTCATAATAACCTCGAGGCATCATTATGCCGTGAAGTGGATGAAGCCTTGTCTATGCTGATGAATGCCACCACACATGATGGCCAAGTCGATGTTTTCAAGCCGTTGCAGCTCATCACCCTTAATATGGCATTGATGATTACCTTTGCAAGCCATGCAGCATCCATACATGATCCATTGTTTAAAACACTCGTGGATTTTGTCGACCGAGGAATTGATTACGCGAGTCCTTTGGGTGATGTCAATATGCAGCTTCCCCATTTGGCGTGGATCATAGAGCTATTCACACAAAACGAGCACGCTATGGCCGATTTTTCTTTCAAAGAGCGTGATCCTTACTATTACAACTTGGTTGAGAAAGCGCTTGCAAGTGATCAAGATTGCATTGCAAAAGCAATGGATGCACTTAGGGATGATGTTCATGTAACCGAGGAGACCGTCATGATCGCCTGCCGTGAGTTTTATGAGGGAAATTGGGATCTAATACACGGCGTACTGATTTATCCTCGCACCAGATGACATGATTGTGGCAATTACGGATCCGACAGCTGCATCCATAACATGGTCGCTGGCTCTATTGTGTGCCAATCCACAAGCACAACGTCGATTGCAGGATGAGATTGATACATTCCTTGGCAGACACCATGGCCAAATGCCGACATTTGGCGATTATGCCGAGTTCCCTCTTCTCATGTCTGCTATCAAAGAGTGTCTAAGAGTACGATCAATAGCCCCGTTTGTTCTACCCCATGAAGCCAGTGAAGATGGTATTATGGGCACTTTTGATATCCAACTCTATCCATTGCCTATGCTAACATCACATGTATATGTAGTGGAATTCAGTGGCTATTTTATCCCCAAAGGGACAATCATCTTTGGGAATCTTGATACCATGCATGAAAACCCTGATTTGTACGACAATCCGCAAGAGTTTGTTCTCGATCGTTTCCTAGACAAGCCAACTTTATCATGCAAATTATCTAAAGCCACTCCGCAAGATCGAGATCATTATGCATTTGGATGGGGAAGGTAAATCCATATTAAGGATAACCAAGCTTGATACAAGAAATGGCTCATTTAACATATAGGCGCTTGTGTCCTGGATCCTATCTTGTGCGTAAACGGTAACATTTTCATGCAAGGATAACAAGAGGCTAATAGAGAAATATGTATGTAGGGAGAATGCATGATGTTTAATGTGCTAGTACGACTCCTTGCAAGGGCAAGCATTGAGCCTGTGATAGATAAGGAAGGAAAGCCATTGTACCCCAGCATCCACGAGCGTCAAAATGGAGATGCTATCATTTTACCAAAGCAGAGCAGCATGCGAATTGTTCCACGACCCGTAGTATAACAATAAAAATGGACCATGATATGTAGCAGAGAACAATGAAATCTATATTTGATGCTTTCTAAACGAATTCCACAATGCTAAAGGTAATTTCCAGTCCTTCTTTAAGAGCTTGGGATCGAAGATATTAAAGTTGGTAGATTCGAGCTTTTCAAGGAATCGAGCACTTGGAACCTAAAAGTGACCATCAGCTATAGATTCCTCCTAATTGATGTTGAGCTCCCCTTTTCTTACCGCGGATAAAAGTACAGGGAATGCTTCGGATGGGACTTGTTTGAGCATGGATCGAGCTGTGAGCAAATGATCATTGGCAGCTGTTGCCACCTCGAAAATGGCATCTTCTAATCCTTCAGCGTGACCATGTCGGAATAAATCTTCTTGAGAAATGTTGTACTACAGTAGGTGTCAGAATCCAAATCCTCCCACATCATCATCATCATCATCATCACCACCACCACCACCCATCCATCATCATCCTACCTTGGCTGTGATCTCAGCTGGAAGCACCAATCGCTTATGACTCAAATGAAATGGCAATGCTCTCAAAAAGGTGGAGATACCAATCATTTTACCAACGTGGCTGATAGCGTGATCTGCATTGACGTCCTTGATACCAAGTGATTCGAGTTGTAGATACAAGAGAGCGGATGCCGTGTTTTCGGAATAGGATTCCATATCCTTGACAGTCATAAATTGATGATCCTCGAGATTGGTTGCCTTTACATCACCATTGTTAGAATAGCCATGTTGAATACTAATAAAAAGGACTTACACGTTCAGTGATGATACGCTTGAACCACATCCGTGACAGGTTGCATTCTTTGAGAGCAGCGGCAACGGCCAGCGCGATAGGCTGCTGTGGTGGATTACCCTAAAGGATAACATGTTACTTCCCTTATCATGATCATCATCATTGAGATAGAGAGATAGCATACCTTGTAGATATTATTGATGGTATCGCTCCAAAACTGCATTCTCATCTTGCCTGCGGTTGGATTGGATACGTTCTCGCGAATAGAAGCCAACTCGACGTTGAAGGCACGTAGGGCATATTGTACGTTACGCAAATGGGATGGATAAAACGGTACACAAAGGTATCCCTCGTAATCGCGTTGTCTGATGGATTGGATTGCTTCAATGGGCGTGTTCAATGTATTGAGTTTTGGGGGGGTTGGGAGGGAGGGAGAGCGATCTACCTGACCGAGTCCGTGCAATATTTGATCGCAGCTGGTAGCTTGTCATTGGAAGCATTGGACATGTATCGTTTGCATGAGAAGGGTTGTTGTTGTCGTAAACAAGAGAGTGCTTGTACTGTTCTCGGTCGTGTCAACATGGCGTGTGTGTGTGTGTTTGAAAGAAAAAAGAGAGAGCCTAGTTGCACAAGCCAATGTGGTTGCTGGGGTAGAAGAGACCATCCCATCCGTGACTCGATCATCGTCATTGTTATTGAAATACCCATCATCCTTAAGCATCATTCTTGTCATAAACACTGCAGCCATTATGGGAAGCTTGCAACTGGTCAATATGCAATGAAAATACCACCTCACGCGATGACTAGTTAAGAGGCTGTCATCTTCATCATCATAATACAAACACTTTTACACAGGTGTATGTACGTCCAAACATTGCCACGTGAAACAAAGAAAGAGGAACGAGGGGGTATTAGGGACAACTGTTGATGCTGGCGAAAAAAAGTGGCCAATTGGGTGTTTAGCGTAACGAAAAAGATCATCCCTGAAAAGAAAAAAATAGCCGGTTTGAAATTGCAGTAATGGTGTGCACATCATGATCCACATCATCAGGAGGTTTTATCTGCTGGATGTTGCATTCATAGAGAAAAGTTGTAAAGGGACCAACAATGAAAGAAGCCAAGATGGGATAATAATGCCGCATCCATGTTCTCCCAAAAATAGTCGATCAGGTACACAAATCAGAAGTCTGTGTCTGCCATTGAAGGCGTACAATGATTTCTCTATAGCGTTATGGTAACCAAGAAAGCATAATAAAAGAAGACTTTATGGCAAGTAGTAATATCAAACATGATGCGAGCTTGGGAATTTAACCAGCAGGTTATCAACATTCCTGCATAATCAAGGCTGGGAATCCACAAATGTGACGCTGGATAAAAGTAAGAGTGGACAAGGCAAGTAGCAGAGGAATGATGATAAAGGGATCAGTAACGCGGGATATCTTCCGATCGAACATTAGCCCCGTCCATGAGATGTGTGCGTGTCTGAGTGAGTGTCATTGTTGTATATATAGATAGGTGAGTGTGGGTGTAAAAGACCTTATCACCTCTTTCTTTCTCATTTGTTGTCGTTGTCATTGTCGTTGTTGTCAACCAGGTACTTGTTTAAACAATCAAATGGGATCTTTGTTATATAAATGCACCCCTCTCTCACATCATTAACATAATCTCAACCTTCCGACTTCAAGTACAACCCAATACTTTGTTACACGACCTTTGTTTCGTTTCTTCAGCTTATACACGACACAAGCAAGCTATACTCTATCTCTTCTCTACCTATTACTACAACTATATACTCTTGCTACTACTACTACTACTACTACTCCTGTGCACTTTTATATGCCTTTGAAAACGCTCGCTGTAGCAGCTGGTGAAAGCTTGCAGTCGCCCTCATTCCAACAGCCGCATAGTATACGATCACCTCATAACGATGCGCGTCGTTTCCACCCTCCAAAAGAAACCTTGGCAACCGATCAACCCATCCGCGTTGTGCATGAAGAAGAGGACTTTTATACGTCGTTGGAGAAGCATTCGGCATTGTACCGCATCGTGTTGGATCGGCCTTTGAGAAGTGGTGTTCCTCTTGGAGAATGGGTCAGACTTGATTTGCAACTGGTCAACGAATATGGTCTTGTTTTGAGAAGGGAGCGAGCACGCAACTGCAATGTATCCTTGCAAGTCAAACTGTTAGCCCAGTCGAATGGATATGCATTACGTGATGCTAGTCATTATTATCAACTTGATGTGCGACCTGTCCAATTTGATAATTGGGATACCCACAGTGATGATTCTACTACTACACCATCAATCCACACCACCACCTATGCTACAGGCAGCAACAGCAGCTTCAGTGACAGCAGCAGCAGCAGCAGCAGTGCATCTTTATGTTCAACCCCAGATGATGATACCTCCTTTATCTTCACGCCTCATATACTTGGTTTCCAATCCAGCGGCAAGGGAAGCCTCGAATTCCGTATCACCGGCAACAGTCAGTATACGACAAAAACAAAATATTTCTTGTACATTGCTCCTACAACGACAACAACAAGAGAGGGAGATGGCAATACGATTCAAGCATTGCCTTCGGTGGTAGGACCTGTACAACTCGTTCCTCAGGAACAACAACATCATCATCCAACTTTGCAGGATCGCATGATACTCAGTGGTGTGGATACTGAAGCCCTCAATCGTGTTCATCGTGTTTATGATGTCAGCCATCTCGTTGCTTTGGATCATCGCTTTCCATCATTGCATCACAAGGTCTTTGTTGTCAAGGAGAATTGGAAAATGGCAACATGGGGGAAGGCGTGGGATGCTGCTCTTGTCCTATCAGATACGTTGGCCAAGCGGGTGGTGAATGATCCACATTGTCTTTCTGGAAAACATATCATTGATATCAGCGCTGGGTAATTCAATCCTGATGATGATGATGATGATAGGATGATGATCAATACTAATGGCTACTATTGCAGAACGGGATGTGCTGGGCTATTGCTTGCATTCTTACTACGTCATATGCATAACAACAAGTACAATACCAAGATCACGCTTACGGATCTACCTGATGCACTTCAACTTATCAAAGACAATCATCAATTGAATCTCGGCGGTGGTGGTCGTCGTGACAAGAATGTACATATTGAACAACTACGTTGGGGCTCTGCTTCAGATGCAAAAACGGTGCTACGCAAAGGCAAGGCGGATATCATTTTGGCTTCTGATGTACTCTATGAAACATCGTGTTTTCCTTCGTTGGTGCAATCTCTGGTCCAATTGTGTACGCCTGGCAAAACGGTTATTTATTTGGGGTACAAGCGACGTGGTCTTAAGGAACATGAGGAACGCATCTTCTTTGACAAGGCTGCCGAACGTTTTCATATTGAACTTGTTGGCAAGGAGGGTGATCAAATCGACTATGTGGAACCTGTACCATGGGAAAAGGAGTATGGCGTTTTGACAAAAAGTGCGGCACCGGCAAGCAAGAATGGATGGATTAGTCGCCTTGCACACTCTGATGAAGATGATGATTTTTATTCGACAATGATACCATCGTTTGGTTCTCTGGATAAGGCCAATGTAAAGATATACCGCATGGTGCTAAAGCGACGTTTGCATTAGCTTTCTCAATCGATCTCTTTGTTTGCTGTAGTGTAGTTGACATGTTTTTTTACCCATAAAAGGAGATGATACCATGAAGCATTTGTTATTTGAGTTTGTGTTATGTTTGTTACAATGTAGATGGGGCTTCCTCTCAAGTCCACATGCCAAGTTTACAAAGACCAAATCATAGCTTTTATTTGACAGATTGATGGCTGATGTTTAAAGTGTGCATTATAAAGAGACATCATTGGTTGAATACGCTAAAACAATAATCCAGGGCTCACCTGAAAAAAACATTGTCGGACTGTAGCAGTAATATCAATATCCTCTTCCTCTTCTTTTACCTCTTTCAATGGCATCCCCAGTTGCTGAACGTGTGACATACCTTGTGGGTGGTGCTGCTCTTGGTGCAGTATCCTACGCCGCCTATCAAAAGTTTACCCAAAAGCCAGCTCCTCGACCTGCTCTTGTCCCTGTTCAGCAACAACAACAACAACAACTTCCCGTATCCCAGCAACCACAACGCCCTGGTGGTGGTGGTGTCGTTACTCCTCCTTTTGAAAAGGCCAAAGCGATCCTTCCATTTGGTTTCCCTGGTAACGCAAAGCATCCATGAACGATATAAAGAATAATGATAGGCTCATACAAAAGGAAACAGGACCTGTCAACGACGTGTTGTATCGTAATGCGTATGTTGTATCTTACAATCGACGCGATCGCAATCCCAACTGGGTCGCTGAACATTTGACGGCTGAATCGTTGAAGCGTCAAGAAGGTGTTGACCGGGGCAATTCGACGTTTACCGAAGATACGCAAATTCCAGAGCAATTCCGTGCCCGTCTTGCCGATTACTACCGTAGTGGATTCGATCGTGGCCATATGGTGGCAGCAGCCGATGTCAAGTTTGATCAGACGGCCATGAATGAGACGTTCAAGTTGACGAATATTGCACCTCAAGTGGGAGAAGGCTTCAATCGCGACTATTGGGCTCACGTGGAGAATTTCTGTCGCACCTTGACCAAGCAATTCCAAGATGTGTACGTCTTTACCGGTCCCTTGTACTTGCCCCATCAAGAAGCCGATGGCAAGTACTATGTAAAGTATCAAGTCATTGGTAATCCTGCACCCAACGTGGCTGTCCCCACCCACTTTTACAAGGTCATCATGACGCACAAGAATGGCAAATATCATTCGGCCGCCTTTGTCCTTCCCAATCAACCCATCCCCGATAGCACGCCCCTTGACACTTTCCGTGTCCCTCTCAATGCTGTTGAACGTGGTGCTGGTCTTGTCTTTTTCGATCAAGTCAATAAGGATGCCATTGGTGATCTATGCAAGGAAACCAAATGTCAAATCGTTCTTTCTAAATTCCATGAGGCAAAGAAGCTTGGTAAATAAGTTTTAATTTATTACTGTACATAGTAAAAAAAAGAGAGAGACTCCCACATAGAGAGAGAGTGTGTGTGCAAAGGAAGGAATGGATGATGTTGTAGATACAAGAGTGTGAGAGTGTCTGGTCATTAAGCAAGATAAATAAAATACACACAAATGGATGATGTTGATGATTTTGTGATGATGATGATGATGAGGCGCGTTTTAGAAGCACATGAATTTGGACTTTTTGGTAGTCATCAATTCTTCTAGACGATTCTCCAAAATATAGCGTGCCTTTTCAGCCTTGTCTTTCATGCGGCGTTCGTGCTCAAGGACGTCTTGTACAGCACGCATGTCATCCGTTGCACGTTGATGCTGTTGATCCATTTGATCACGTAACTGTTGGATTTCGTTCACCGATTGCTGATGTTCACGTGCTTGCAATTCAAGTTGTCGTCTTACTTCACGTACAGATTGCTCGGATCGAGATAGTTGCTGTTCAAGACGCACGATCACATCTTGATGGGCCTTCACATCGCCATCCGCTGTTTTGATCTTGCGTTGTAGGGATCGAATGATACGCTCATATCGCTCAGAGGTCTTTTCAGCACCATCCAATGTACTAATCGTCGTGGCAGAATTGTGTCGTTGTAAATGCATTTGGGGAGAGCCTGGAATAATAGGTGGATGCGATGATGAGGGTGTAGGTGACGAGGGTGCAGAAGGGATAGGAGGTAATGCGCTTGGAACAGGTGGTAATGGATTGGAGGGTGGTGCAGAAGGTGGTGGTAAAACAAGGGCACTTGCACGCTCACGTGATGCTGATAAGAGTGAATCTCGATGAATAGGAGATTGCATACGTGGTGATGTGGGTGGTGACATATGATGCTGATGATGATGACTCAATGTAGAGCTGGTGCTTGCACGATGTCGTTGCTCAACTTCTTTTTCAAGTCGGCTATTGGCCGAGCTAAGACGCATTACTTGAAGTTCCAAATTCTTTTGTTCAAGAGATAACTTGTTGCGTTGTAAAAGCAATTGTCCCTCGAGATCATTGACATTCTCCGCAAGTTGCTGGTTATCATGCATAAGCTGCTTGCATCGTGTCACAAGTGCCTTTGGATCACCCTCCATAAGCTGCATAAGCTCATCTTCATCCACAACAGCTTCGGTCGTTGGCTGTAATGCTGCTGCCTTTTGCTGCTCATCCAATTGCTTCTGTAATCCATCGATAGCCGCCTGTTGCTTGCGATTGAATTCTTGGCTATGTTCAAGGTCTTTGAGAGCACGTTCATAACGGGCTTGCAATGCATCCTGGTCTTGTTGTTGAGTTTGTTGAAGCGTTTGAAGACGAGCTTGCAATCCTTCAATAATATGTCGGATCTCGTTATCATCATTCTGGTCGCCCTCTCGCTTTTCTTGTAGCGTCAATGCACGAGACAATTGTTCATCAAGTTCAGCAACGCGGCTTTCAAGGGCTTTGGTGCGTTGCAATTCGATATCCACTTCGTGTTTGGATTCCTCCTTGGCACGACGCAACATGTCTTCTAACTCTGCAATTTGATCTTGTCGGTCTTCAAGTAGACGTGCTTGTTGTTGGCTGAGATGTTGAAGATCCACCAATGCTTCGGCCGTGCGTTCCATACGGTTGCCATGGAGACGGACTTCACTATCCACTGCCTCAATCATACGTGCAATTTCCACCCGCTCACGACGCATATGCCGTTGCAATCGATCAATGGTAATCCTTGCATCATCGAGTAGCTTTTGTTTGGTCTTATTCTCGCTTTCCAAACATGTAATAGTGTTGTCACGGTCGGCTACTTGCTGCTTGACAATATTAATGGCTTGATCCATGCCATCCAATTTGCCACCGAGACATCCAAGCATTGTATCTTGCGTCGTTGCCACTGACTGCAATGCATCCAATTGCCGTTTTACACGTTCAAGCTCTTCCAATCGATGTCGCAAAGTCACTTGGGTTCCTTTTTCCTGATCCCACATATGTCGACGTAACTCTCGATTTTGTTCACGTGCTTCATCCAAGCTGGCTGATTGAGCAGCCATCTTTTTCTGCAAAGCTTGCAATTGGACATGGCGTTGTTCTGCAAGTGACTCGAGTTCCTGCATCCGCTGCTCCTCGTCGTCATGGATACCACTATGTTGCTTGATACTCTCGACTAACTTTGTAGCAATGGCACGCTCCATAGGTTTACCCTGCTCCAGTGCTTTGGTGATCTTATGAGCAAGCAATGTTGTGCTCTCTTCTTCCTTTGGGTGTTCGAGAGATGAGCTGGGTGTAGGTAAAGGTGGTTGTTGTCGCTCAACTGCAGCTGCAGCTTTCATGATGCGTTGCCGTTCCTGTGCTACAGCAAGTTGATTACTCAACCGAAACAATTCCTCTTGGGGGTCTTGTTGTTGATCGTCATTGCTGCTATCCACATCCATATCCATCATGTCAAGTTGAGATTTGAGGCGAGCAATCCTTTCATCGTCATCTTTGGATGATGGTGGTTGTAATGGGTTGGGTGTATATCGAGCACGACATGCTGATTCAATGGCTTCCAATGCATGATCCGAAGATGGATCGATACATGAAATCATGGCAACACGTTGTTTCAGCTGAGGTTGTTGTTGTTGCTGCTGCTGTTGTAGTAGGAATTGAACAAGGATTGGATGCATCGTGTTGATATCTTGTTCATGCTCCACAAAATGCATCTTTTGTTGTGTAACGACCCATTCACCAGGTTGCTCCTCCTCTGTCTTGGCAAAGTGTTGGTGACGTTCCATTTGTCCCACCATCGCCTTGACATTGAGAGTGCTACTAATGGGACGTCGTTTGGCGTGCATTGAAACAGAATGCTCCACAGGGGTAGATTTGCTGGGTGTTACACGAATGGGTTTTTTCACGCGTACCCACTTTTCTTGTCGTAGCGTGATTGTAAACACGGTGGGCTGTGCTTTGTGCTGTTGACTTGATGATTCAAGATACCTGCATCCATGTGTGTCAATGTTTCCTCTCCTTTCAAGAACAATAGATAGATTTACCTTAGGACATCCCCCGTGTTCCTAACAAGTACTTGGCTAATACCCATTTCATCCTTGTATCGATCATGCACAGTAACAGATTGCCCTTCTTGGTGGCTAAGCAGATCCAGCAATTGATCATTCTCCAAGGCAACGTGAGATACACGGATGGTGTAACGAGGTGCTTTGCTGGATAAATTAGGTGTTGAACCACGACGAGGAATAAGGCTAGTCATGGATGCGGGACGTAAGAGGCGACTATTGTTGTTGTTGTTGGTGTTGGTGCTACTACTCAATCGGAAACTAGACGTAAAAGATGTAGCTGGGCGATGATGATGATGACCTGCTGATGCATTTTGATGGCGGTATAATCGCTCGAAAAGTGCTGTGGTTGCTCGTGGAATCACACCTGATGTTTCATTTTCGGTTAGCGTATCTTTACTCTTTTTGCATATATTTTTGCATTTACCTTCCAATTCGGCACCGTCATTGACGTTCAAACCATATCCCAAGGTGTATGTTTTTCCCGAGCCCTGTTCACCCTATAACAGTAGTATATTAATCACCATCCTTGATTGAAAGTATGATCTTTCATTTTACCTGAGTCACGAGGATTGAATTGTAGCCTATAAAAGAACAAGTAGGAGTGGCGTCAGAGATCATGTGGCTAAAATTGGAATCAGGGCATGCACACTTGCCATCAATGAAACGATCAACAAGACCCGACACCACGCTGCGAAACATTTGATCCTGCGTACTGTCAGATCCAAAGACTTGGTCAAACACAAAACTCGATCCTTGGATAGTAACAAGTCGTCCATCAATGTTGATGTTGGTATCATTGTGGTGTGAAATCGGTCGAATTCGGAGAGCTATGTAGAAAATGTCAAAGTGAACAGGGCGGAACGTTAACATCATGCCGACAACCATTATATAAACAATGCTTACCAACTTGAAGTGTTGTATTATTGACATGCTGATTGGATGTTGCTGAGGTGTTGTTGGTGTTGGAGTTGTTGGTGGCTGTAGTATTTGAAGGTGATTTGATGGATATAGGAGATGAAGAAAGCATGGTATTCACGGTCATGATGATGATGATGGATGAAGAAGCATGGGACGGCGGCGACGAACAAGTAGTAGTGATGAGAACAAAGGGAGAAGAAAAGGAAAGGAGATATATAAAAAGAGAGGATGGGAATATAAAGACAAGAGGACGTGTCTACAAGAGGGATAGGTTGGGTGTGGCGATATTAATTGACTTGCGAAAAACGTAAAAGTCTTTTTTCACACACCAAAGGAATGAAAGGATGGAGAAAGAGAGAAAGAAGGAAGGATTTCTGGGTATGGTTGAGTTGTGTGTGTCCACCCATTTGTATCACTTTGCAAACTGGCGCCGAATCAATTCACGATGTGGTAAATGTGCACGAATGTTCCAAGCGTCATCATGGTTATTGCCACCTTGCTTCAATTGTCTCCTCCTTCAAAGTTGTGGTGGTGTCCCATTCCTGTTCTCCTCCATAATGATGTGCTCCTGCATTGGCTCGTGTATGTCCAAGGATGATATGTATGTGCATGCGTGCAGTATATTAAGACATGATGTCTTGCATCCCTGGTTGAAAACAAATTCATCCTTTAGTCTCCAATATCCTGGATAGCACGCTACTACTATTACAATAGCACTTACCACGCGTAATTAAGCATTGGCTCAATCAGATTCGTCCTTGTATATTGTATCCGCACTTGCTTCTTTTGGTAATTGATTCCGTTTGCTGTTACCAATACCACGCAACTCCCGCTGCCACATCACCCTTTTGCGGCTGTACCAATGCCAAGAGAGAGAGAGCGAGAGAGAAATAAGCTCATTCTTCCTCCCCCATCCTTCCTTTGAAAAAGTCGACCCTGAGCGGACATGATTCCCTTGTAAAGTAAACAAATAAGCTTGTTGCACAGACATAATGCACGCTTTTCCCAAACAGTTCGACATTGGTGATACCTTTTCAACATTACGATAACCCAATCATGTGTATAAACGTCGGAGGAGTTGATCCGTTCCTTGGGGTGCCTTAATCAATGTCACATATCAGCATGTGTGTGTACACTTGTTTGTGTCGATCCCCCAATTTCACCCCATCCCATCCCAATTTGTACCTTGACTGAAACTTGTCCACTAATAAACCTGGCCTGACACCATCCGAGTATTGGGAACACGTGGGTATGACGATTGACATTGATAAGACCACTATCACCATACTATGGATAGACACAACGTCCATTGTTAATCATCAACACGATAATACATAGCTATAGGTGTATGTTACTGTACCTCTTCAATACGACATGCTGATTCAAAGCCCATCGGCAACACTACAGATGAAAGAGTTCTCATTTAATAAAGGCATCCTTCCAACACACGACATCGCGTACCGAGAGAGAGTCATTGCAAGAGAGTCATTGTCCAATGTCGACATTGAATGATAGCATAGAATGGCAGAAGAGGTTGCTGGGAGAAAAGAAGTGTTGATCGGTGCGTTTGTAGATCCAAGAATGGAAGCCGTCGCTGCAGAAAAATCCCACTCACACAATTATGCAGCTCCTTGTCCCAATATTGGGTCACTCATAGTATTGCACTTTTTGACATTTGAGAGCAGCCATTCCCATATTCACATCTTCCCTTATCGTAATCCATCGAAGTTCAACGATTCATTTGTCAGCTTGCTTATTGATCGGTCGGTGTGTGTATTATGTGTACTGCGCCCCATCCATATTATTATGTATTCTCGCCCTCTCCTCTCTCTAGTTGTACAGCAAAGCCCACTCGCACGCCATTCAACGTTTGCCCGTACCCGGCACCTAATTGCCCGAAAGGTTTATAAAAAGGGGATCCAATGTTGGACTAATGTCCTGATATCCAATCTACACTATTATTACGACAATGACTTCCGAACCTATTATCGTTATCACTGGTGCCACCGGTGTCCAAGGCGGCAGTGTTATCCGTGCATTACAAGCAACTGGCAAATTCAAATTGAGAGCCGTATCCCGCAATCCTGAAAGTGATGCCTCCAAAGCGCTTATCGAAAAGGGCGTGGAAGTTGTTCAAGGCAATGCGAATGATGGTGAATCCATGAAGAAGGCCTTTACGGGTGCATGGGGTGCATTCCTTGTTACCAACTTTTGGGATCCTGCAGCAAAGGGGGCCAATGATACGGATTTGGTCCAAGGAAAGTTGCTTGTGGATGCTGCCAAGGAGGCTGGTATTCAATACATTGTATGGTCATCGCTTGAGGACATTCAGGGCAAGAGCAATGGCAAGCTTCTCGTACCTCATTTCTCATACAAGAACAAGGTTGAGCAATACATCCGATCCATTGGGTTTGATGCTGCTTTTGTCTATGCTGGGTACTATGCTTCCAACTGGATCGGCTTTCCACAACTTGCAGGTCCCCTTCGTAACCAAGATGGATCCATTGTCATCCACTCGCCATTCCGCGATGATGTAAAGATCCCTATCATTGATATGGATGCGGATTTTGGCAAGTTTGTGGCACCAGCGTTCCTTGATCCCGTAAAATTCCATCACAAAAAGATCATGGCTGCATCAGAGTACATCACTGTCCCACAAATGGTCGAAGCTTATACATCCGTTACGGGAGAGGAAATCACTGTCAACTATGTCCCTTTTGAAAAGATCATGGAGATCCCCAACGCCAACATGTTGCCTCCTACCATGTTCCATGACGTCGTTTGCATGTTCAATGACCTTGGCTACTTTGTTGGTGCTCCTCTGGAACCTACCCAAGCCCTTTATGACCATGATCTCAAGCTCAACTCTTTCAAGGATTGGATTCGTACCTCAGGATTCAAGGTCCCACCGCCCTCTGCTCCAACACAATAGATAGAAGATGATTGCATTGTATTGTTTTTCTCATATAGACCATCTATAAATCGCATTTGCTGTTATTACATTATGTAGCGGGTGGTCAACTATGGAGGGTGATATGTATTCTTAGGTCAATCCAGGTTTAAACAGCGTGCGTGTAACGTAAACCTTGATCAGATCAGCAATTGCCCGTGGATACACAGCGTGGTTTAATCGCATTGCTACCTATTATCGTTTATATAGCATATGAATAAGAGGAGGTTCAACCAATGCCATGCGACGAAAGGGACAACAGCATTCGACACGATGATGTAAATGACTCAACTCGCTTCCTGACCTTTCCCCACTTTCAATCCATAAACCAATCAAGCAATCCACATCTGCACACACGTGCTGATAATACGATCCCCTTCTAGATATTACGTTGAATCCAATTTTCATTCAATGAATCATTCGAAGAATAGTAGTACTGTACATTGTAGTGTGGATGTTCACATCAAGTAAATAATACGATAACGAAGCAGGATTGAATAAAAAACGGGTGAATCACTTAGAGGGAACAGGAATAATGGTGTCATTGTATTCTTCGTTGTTGCCGTCGTAATCATCCTTCATCTATAGCTGCTGCATGCATTGATTCGAGCACACCAATATCATCCATCCAGCTGTACAACACCATAAGCCCTTTCGTCATATCCATCCAATTCCATCATCATCCTCAGCCGTATCCACTCGCCATGATCCATCGTTCCTGGTGACAACACGACAAATTCCATCTTTCCCAATCATGCACTTGGTTGCATCCATCCATCCATAACCATGGCAAGTCCAATAATGCTACTGATATGCGTCTTTTTCCATCCTGGTGTTGGTCCATCTCTTTCTTGATCATTTCCTATAGCAGCTCAACCAGGTGATGATGGCTTGTATTGCGGTGTACTTGATAGCTGATATGGCATCACCCACTGGAATTCGTGTGTGTTAAGGCAAGTTGCTGCACGTAATAAAGATGCTTCTATACAATGCCCATATGCCGTTCACGTATAAAAGGCTGCATGGCAGGATGCTGCAAGTAGCTGAGATCATGGAGCGAAGGCCTTGCTAATAGCAGCTGCTGTTACGTTTGGTTGTGGCAGAGGAGCGTGCAAGAGCGTGTGTTGTAGTAGAGTGACAAGGTTGTGAACGCTGTTTGAGACAATGGAGTAAAGACCTCGCCAATAGCAACTGCTGGAATGAATGCTGTTACGTTTGATTGTCGTCCATGATTGTACAAGAGAAGGTGAAGTGTCAAGAAACGCGGGTGTTGTAGTGGGCTGCACACGCCATGGACTTGCCATTCAGTCAAAGACATTCGGATCAAGCGAGTTGTAGGATTGACATGATGGGTTGAAGCAGGACAATCATTCGCAGGTGGTAGTTGTACACTTGAATGGGGCCAACAGTTGAGAATGGGAGGAAGAGGGAAGAAGCTGGAGTGGAAGAAGTGGAAAGTAAATCGATCGGACACCTCTTGTATAAATGCATGAACACTGTACATCCAAACCTTGATATTGAGATTGGCCCTTTCGAACCTGAAACTTTCACACATGGTGCTCTTAGATGTGCTGATCAACGTTGTATTAAAAAAGACCTCATGTTCATTTAAAAATATTGAATGGGAGGGTACAATGTGGGATTTACTATGGAGATCGGAAAGCATGGCAGCACCGGATTCATGATCTATGGAAATAGCATGTATTACCTTGGGATTCCCCATCTCGAACATGAAACTTTGTCAGAAGGTTCGCTGGGTCATGCTGATCAACTTCATTCATTTTAAAGTCGCAGACTTCATTGTGAAGGTTTAAAATGCGGGGTGGTCCAAATGGTGGATGACGGGTACAAAAGAGCGGACGGCCCACCGCCCCGAAGTTGCCCACCTCCAACTTGAAAATTGGTCAGCATGGTGCTCTCGAGCATGCTTATCAACTTTTTCATAATAAAGACCTCACGTTTCATTTGAAAATTTGGAATGGGAGCTTCCAAAAGTTTGAAAGACGGAGACATTCGCAGACCCTGCGATTCATTAATTTTCATGTTTGCTGTACCAGCGTAACTCAGTCAAATCGGCTCGGATCAAGAAACTTGAATGATGGAAATGCTCGGCTGGAGCAGGAGAATCGTTCACATGCAGTGGATTTTGCAATAACGCCGATTGTGAGGAAATGGCTGTTAGCGTGCACTATATGGACTATTGTGGATAGACCATAAAGTATAATCCATCAATCCTTCCAGTCATGCAAAATAGCTGTGTTACACAAACACGACCCTCTGCATCTTTTGCTCTGCCAGAGTCGAGCTACTTCACAATGAACAAAGACCACTTGTCATATAGCATCACGCGCACAACATAAAGACGCCTGTATCTCCAAACTTTACAATGAAACATGGGGTTTTTATTAGAGCAATGTGCTCGGCTTGGCCAACTGCACCTTGGGTGCCAGTTTCACGATCAAGCTTGCCGATCCCAGATTTCGCAATGTCGCTACCAGCCAAACTGGATCTGGGGGTCAACCTCTTCGACGACGACGACCAAAAAAATCTTTTTTGGGCTAGTTGCGACATTGAACGTGAAACTTTCACACAAGGTGCTGTTGGCCAAGCCGAGCCCATTGCTCTAATAAAAACCCCACGTTTCATTATAAAGTTTGGAGATACAGGCACCTTTATGTTTGTAAGCGTGATGCTATAAGAAGAGTGGTCTTTGTTCATTGTCAAGTAGGTGGACCCTGGCAGAGC